ATCGTGCCATTGCACTCCAGCCTGGGCAACAGCCAAAATCTATCTCAAAACAAACAAACAAACAACAAAAACAAACCAACAAAAAACTCTGCAGACAGAACCAGAGGTGCAAAGTATAATCCTAGTTGGTCTGTTAACAGGAGGCTCTTTTGGCAAGAATAGCAGGGATAGAGGCTGTTCTCCAAAACCAAGTAGAACAAGTCATCCCTCACCTGTGGCCAGCAAAGATAGAAGACTGCGAGTGTGATGGTTGATACTGAGTATCAACTTGATTGGACTGAAGGATACAAAGTACTGATCCTGGGTATATCTGTAAGGGTGTTGCCAAAGGAGATTAATATTTGAATCAGTGGGCTGGGAGAGGCAGACCCACACTTAATCTGGGTTGCCACAATCTAATCATCTGCCAGCATGGCAAGAATATAAGCAGGCAGAAAAATGTGAAAGGAGAGACTGGCCTAGGCTTCCAGCCTGCATCTTTCTCCCATGCTGAATGTTTCATGTCCTCAAACATCGGACTCCAAGTTTTCAGTTTTGAAACTTGGACTGGCTCTCCTTGCTCCTCAGCCTGCAGATGGCCTATTGTGGGACCTTGTGATTGCATGAGTTAATACTTAATAAATTTCTCTCTCTGTGTGTGTGTGTGTGTGTGTGTGTGTGTGTGTGTAATCCATTTGTTTGTCCCTCTAGAGAATCCTAATACAGCAAGTATGACCTCTCCTATGAACAGTACTTTATTTCATAATTTAGCAGACACATATTTTTCACATTTTAACATCCCTGAACTTCAGATGTATCTTTCAATTGTTGGCATCTTTCAATAGTTGTCAGACAGCTGGCAGTTCTTCCTTACTTGCCATTACCTGTATGTGTGGATCAAAGCTCTTTGCATTGTTGTCACTTTGAGGGAATTACATGCATTGTTGGTATTATAAAGATGAATTTAATGAGGTTTAAAATACCTTCAAAAAGTTTATTTCATGAATCACCACTGAAGCAAGTTTCTTTTTTTTTAATATATAGAATGACATAAAAGAGAATAGTAGACTCTTTAGCACTGAACAATGGCATGAATCCCATTCTTTCTTGCCAAGAAACAAATATCTCTTAAGATAAAAGATACCCCAGATAAATGAAAACTCTGCTAGTTTCTGTTTTGAGAAACTATTATATACCAAGCAATGCAACTGCAAATATAAACAGCCAAATTCGTTAGAAGAAAAGCACAGTGAAAAAGTACTGAGAGGATAGTGTGCATGATTCTTGTATAATTTAAAAATATCACCAGATTATTTTGCAATTTAATTGACAGCTATTTCTTTTCTTTCTTAATGATGTATTTAAAATTAAAGGTGTCAGATTAAATGAATAATGAAGTATGTCTTCACAGAACTTGGATCAGTTTCAAGTGAAGAGAGGGGAGAAAAAGGGGTAGAATCTTTTACTAATGATATTTACATCCTGAATTGACAAAACTTAAGCAGAAAATAACTGAACAGGAAAATTTCAGTTTTCCACCATTATAATGTAAAATGAAGAAAAACTAAGAATGTTATATTCTTGCTCCACTACATTCTATGGCAGTGAAATGGATTATGAGTATACATAAATCTATTTCAAATATATAGTCTTACATGAAAACAAACATAGGTAACCACAACATTTAATGCCTTGGTGGCTTTCAATGTATTTGAAATACGTATGCAACACATTGGGCATACTGCTGCTAAGTTTAATAGGTACAAATATTTTTTAAATTATGTTCATTCTTTTAATCACCAAATGTGTTGAGTTTTTATTAACTGTGAGAAATATTGGTTGGCACTGAATGGGATGATGGGGATAAAAAAATAGAAAAAATACATTTTTTAAAAAGAAAAACATAATCTCCTTCTTTACTACAGCAAAACTACAAATAAAATTTGGAAATAATTCAGAGGACAAAAAACTCTGGCCTAGAAGGGAAGCCTGAATTCTAGTGTCATCTTGATCAGTTATTGCTGGACATTCTCAAGTTTTCTGGATTTTTGTTGAGATTTTGGATAAACTAAATAGTTTTCAATTAAGATTAATGATTGTCTTTTTAGGGTAGTCTTCAAGATTAAAACAGCCAATTACAGAGACTAAAAACTGGGAAAGATTTAAAAGTGCAGTCCAATACATTATTTGGCAGGCAACTTGGTAAGGAGGAGGAATCAAGATTCAAGAGAATGGTCTAAGGGCATTCAGTCAATAACAGGTGCTTAAGAAGCCCTTAAGTGTATATGATTATGCTCTGTTATTCCTTATTTTATCATAATACTTCTCAGTTCTGGAAGGTTTAGTCACTGAAATCTGAAGATTAGATCCTTTGTCAAATACTCAGTTTTCTATCACATAGAGAACTTCCACTGTACTAAAAAACAATGCTACTCTGGTTATAGCAATGAATTTCTATTTCTTCTACAAATAAACAGACTATAAAATAATAAAAAAGCAAGACATTCTACTAGTATAACTATACTCTATTCTGCTTACTTATTGTCCTGGATACCTCTTCTTTCTCTACAAAACTGCTAGTCATGAATGCCTTAGAATTCATGCCTTCATTCAGTGACTCCAATGCCAAATATTTCTCTTTTATCAGTGGACAAATTTAACCTTCAAAAAATATTTTGAAGAGTCAAATAGTGACATACTATAAGTTACCTACTAAATATTTATTTTTGTTCACTAATAAAAATGTTCATGTGTGTGAAGGACTGGAAATTCTGATTTCCAGATACAGAGGCAGATGTTGTGTGGATTCTTGTTTTCCACTCTCTTGTTGCCTAAAACACAGATGTGATGGCTGAAACTACATCAGCCTTATAACCAGCAAAAGACAAACATAAGAAAAGGTTTGAGAAAATTTAGACCTTGTAATCAAAAGGCCATTGAATTAATACCAGGAGCCAATCACTGCAGACTTCTTATGACACGAGAAAAACTTTTAAATCTCTGTAACACAGGGTTTACTATTACTTGTAGTAAAAAACCATCATCCCATCCTACCCCATAAAATCTTTCTTTATGAGGCATAGCAAGTATATGGTATTAATACATTTCATGGAAACCTCAGTTTGACTATTTCCCAAGCTTCAAGAATGTTCTACTTCTATATAGCACAGGATGACACAATTAAAAACATAACAGACATTTAAGGATAATTTAAAGCTAATATAGATAAACTTAAAGTATCAAAATGGCTATAAATACAAATTCAGTTTGAATAGACAAACTGTTCTAATGCAGTCACTGTTTGTTCATTTAAATGAATTTGTAAATATTAGACTCTTGGAGTTTTATTCTTCTCAGGTCCTTTCAAATAAGATATAATGTCTTTCAATTTTAGATAACATACACTGTTTGAGAGTGCTGGGAAAAGTTAACACCTAATAATTGCATTTAGGACTTTTTCTTCCCATAAACTTGAGGTCCTGGTTTTCATGTCGTCCTTCAACCCCATCTACCGTTGGTAATATTCTCCCTCCCATGTCCATACCTCCCACTTTACACCTTAAAGTTTCTGCAATCCAAAATAAAAAAAAAAAAAAAGAAAGAGAGAAAAGACTAATACAGCATATCACTTACATGTGGAATCTAATAAAGTTGAATTCATAGAAGTGGAGAGATATATGGAAGTTACCAGAGGCTGCTGTGTTTTGGAGGAAGGGAATGGGGAATTGTTATTAAAGGGTGCAATGTTTCAGATACATAGGAAGAACAGATTTTGAGATATACTACACAGCAGGGTGACTATGGTCAATAATAATGCATATTTGAAAATAAATAAGAAGGCAAATTTTCAAGTGTCTTACCATAAAAATGATAGGTAAGTGAGATGATGAATATGTTAGTTATTTCATCATTCCATGTCATATATGTATAGGAAAACATCAAACTGTACCTCATAATTTTGAGTTTTTAATCAAAGTAAATTTTAAAAATAAAAAAAATTCTGCCATCCAAATAATACAGAAGAATTGAAATCTGAAACTAAAGTAGCAACCATTTTATTAAATAAGTCAACCGCTATATGAGTAAAAACCTGTGATACATCTGTTCTGTGAGAGCAGTCATTTAATAGAATTCATTTAAACTAGATCAACCAAACATTTGCTCTAGAATTGTGAATGTCCAACACAATAGCTACTAGCCACATCTGGTAATTTGAATTAAAATTTCAATTAGCTAAAATAAAATTAAAAATTCAGTTATTCAGCTGCATTAGCAGCATTTCAAAGGCTCAAAAGCCACATATGGTAACTAGCTAGCAAATTAGCACATTGTGATGTCTAATTGTTAATGGAGCAAGGCAAATTTTCTCCTGTGGCTCAACGTCCACAGAAAAGTAAAACTCACAGAAAAAATTTATATGAAAGTTTTTTTGCTACCTGTTTAATGACAAACACAGCAAAGTTCCCTTTAAGAGAATATATAAGAATTATCCCACTAGTAACATACCAGTGGACAAACTAAAATAGAAATTTCTAAAGTAAATATGAGTACTTTAATACAATATTATATTCTATTTACTTTGATTAAGATTAGTGCTTATTCTAATACTATGTTATATCCAACAGTTAAGACAGCATTTTAGAAATTAGAACTATAATATTTTCAAATTGATAACTATTTGAATAAGACCTTAATGAGGGTTTCTCATTAAACATTTATATTGAACCTGCAATCTGATTCTGATATACTCATGTTAATAACCAGAAAATATTTTATGGCCAAGTACCACATTGAGCACAAAATGTAATCGACACCTATGATACAATAGTATATTTAATGAAGCATAACAGCAGTAGCCAAAAATCAAATTTAGGGCTTATTAAATTACATACTTGGCAGAAATTACTACAATAACCTGAAATGACAGACATATTAGCTTTTAGAAGCTGTTACCAAGATTGTCAAAATGTCCTCTAGTTTATATCATTATAAAATAATAATGATTTAAACTAATTATAAAATAATTTTTAAACTTAATTTTTATTTTTAATTATTATGGATATATAATAGTTGTACATATTTATAAGATACATGCGATATCTTGATTCAAGCATACATTGTATAATAAACAAATTAGGGTAATTAAAAATAATTTCACTAAAACAAGATAGCAAGAAGAGATTGTTTCTAATTATTGTTTCATGCTGTAAAGCATTCTTTTAAACTGTGGTTCTTGAGACTGGTTATAATAATTTATCTCCATTTTGCTTTGAGAAAAGAAATAATTTTTAGTCAGCATATGTGGCCTCTGATTCCTCATCAGTTTTTCTGTCTGAAAAGCTGAAAACTCTACTAACAGTTTAAGAACTGAGATTTGTTTTTCAGTTTTATAATTCTTTTGTGCAAAATGATTCAGCAACTAAACAAAAAAAAAGTCTCATCATTAACAAAATTAGGATAATAGCACATTCAAGAAAAGTTATATTAATCAAGCAGCACAAACTATTTTTTCTCTGATACCTACAATTTTTTTCCCCATTTGATTGTATTGAACCTCAGAGGTTAACATGCAAGACATAGTTGGTGGAATGGTGGTTAGCTACTCAATATCTGTTCCACCTCAACTGATAAGTCTGAGCTAATCATGGTACTTCCATTTTCCTCCCCAGGTCTTAGTTTATGAATGATCTCATAACTTAATTCTGGACAATGATGTGAAAAAATAAAAATAAAAAACAACTGTGTTGGAGGACCTTGGGGAAACCTTTCTCATTCTTAAGAGACATAGAAGAGTGTGCCCCTAACTTCCAGTTAAAGTTAACATCTGTTTGTAATTACAGGAATTGCCAGCATGATCCTCTTATCAGCCTAAGAATAAAACCAACACAGAACAATGAGCAGAACCAAGGGAATCAGAGAGTAGAGACACAAGAGCCCTGAATTTCTGTGCCTGGAGAGGCCTCTATCTGTGACATTCTGTTACATGACAAAATACACTTCCTTTAGGAAATTTATATTAAACCATATATTGGCATTTCATATGGTTCAATCTAATATGAAGAAACAGAGAAAATAATTACCCCACACATCTTAATGATCAATAACAATCTATTCTGATGTATTTAAGGCCACATTAAAAACACCCCCTCTCAGAAAGAGCTGACTACAAAAAGCTTCTTTTGTAAAACTGTAAGCAAGGAAATTCATTTAGCTCTCTGGAAATGACTTGCTTCCTGTTATTTTGTGGATAGAATTTGGAAAATGAAGAGGAACTAATTTTAAAAACACTTAAACAATGAAGACAGCATGAGTAAGGGATGATCTAACAACAATTGTTAAAAGTTATACTGTAATTAGATTCTGTACTATAATTGAAAAGGCAGACAAATCATACTACTTATATGCTTTACTTTAGAAGTCTGTATTTCAAAAATTAACGGTAATACAAGTAGTAGTATAGAAGACAGAATGAACAGAATTTAGAATTATCCTCTTTATGTATAAATCAAACAAATATCAAACAAATGGAATGAGATTAATTGCAGGATACTGCAGATGAAGTCACTTGAACTAAGCCTCAGTTTTCCTATCTTTCCAATGACAGCAATGTGAACTACTCTGCAAGAAATGTTTTTAATGATTTCATAGTGCATTTGGATCCTGCACTAATGTAGGTATTTATTAACAAGCAGCTGTCACAATCACTCTTACTGCAATTGTTATTTCACTCTGTTCAGGGCAGATATAAGAGTTCTCTTTTATGAAAAACTACACCATTTAGATATTCTTTTCTGCTCTTTTAGTTATTTGAATATTATCCACGCTCTCCCTAGTAGAATATAGGTTCTTTGCTAATTTTTATTCAATAAGAGTCAAATTTGGGTGAAGAATTATAACAAGAGAGAAGTAAACAGGAATAGAAGTAAAGCTAAAAACTTTATTGTTAGACAAGTTAAGATAGATGAAATATGACTTGGTAATTTCAATAAAATATTTACTTCAAGAGTGAATGCTGGACCAAGTCATCATAAGTTTGAGGCCAGGCATGATAGCTCACGCCTGTAATCCGGGCACTTTGGGAGGCTGAAGCAGATGGATCACCTGAGGCCAGGAGTTCCTACCAGCCTGGCCAACATGGTGAAACCCTGTCTCTACTAAAAATGCAAAAATGAGTCATGTGTGGTGGCACACCTCTGTAATCCCAGCTACTCAGAAGGCTGAGGCACGAGAATCGCTTGAACTTGGGAGATGAAGTTTGCAGTGAAAAACTCTAAGTTTGGAAATCTGTGGAATTGTATGTTTCTTTGCCCTTTAGAATTCAATTCAGTAGTACATTGTGCTCATATATAGAGTTCATTAACCAAATAAAAATAATCATTGTTGGCTGGGCGTGGTGGCTCAAGCCTGTAATCCCAGTACTTTGGGAGGCTGAGGCGGGTCGATCATGAGGTCAAGAGATCGAGACCATCCTGGTCAACATGGTGAAACCCCATCTCTACTAAAAATACAAAAAATTAGCTGGGCATGGTGGTGCGTGTCTGTAATCCAAGCTACTCGGGAGGCTGAGGCAGGAGAATTGCCTGAACCCAGGAGGCGGAGGTTGGGTGAGCCGAGATCGCGCCATTGCACTTCAGCCTGGGTAACAAGAGCGAAACTCCGTCTCAAAAAAAAAAAATCATTGTTTTATACATGACTGTCTTAACCATGTGTTTAGGATGTTTTCAGAGAGTTTTAAATTGGCTCAAGTGTTGTTTTAATAGGAAATGTCACATTCTATTAAGAAAAAACTTGAATCAACTTTACTACATTTAATTAGACAGATTAATATAACTTCCATCAACAGGAATACTACTAAACTGATTTATTTATTAAATCATATTGGGGCTTGGGTGTATTGACAATGATATTTTAAAGTAATTCTGTAAAAATTCCAACAGATCTAAAAAATATCAGAGTCAGTAAGGGAATCATCCTTTCAGTTCAATGGTAAAATCCAAACTGCAACAGTTTTATGTTTCCTGATATTCATTGATGGCAGACTTTAATTTGCTGTGGTTAACAAAATATGTGACTAATATAATCAGTATAGCAAGATATAACACATGTAACCATAGCCACAAGAGACTTTGCTGTAAAACTGGTTGTAAAACCTACTCTATCCATTGCAGGATATTTGTAGCAATCTTTGCTATTGAAAGTAGATTTATTTATAACAATTACAATGGTAAAAGATGCCACATTTCTAGACCTTTTTATTACTTTATGATAATGTAACAGTAAAGTAATTGTGTGTATACACACATACACACATGAGAATATACTTTATATATTGAAGTATATTTCTTGCAATATATAATCATAAATATATATTTAAATATTTTTATATATTTGTATTTACTGGAATATATATGTATATACTTAAGTATTTAAATAATCACAAGGAAAATCAGTTATATGAAAATTATGCACATAATTTACCACTTGTTTTCTAAAATCCAGTATTTTATGGACAAATTTCTTGATAAAACAATTTACAATTACATAAGAAGTAACAGAAAATCTGAATAGCTCTGTCTGTTAAAGAACTTTTCCCATCCAATAAAAAAGTTCATTCCCTTAACAATTTCAGTCATTTGTTCTATCAAACACTGAAGGCAGAAATAACGGCAGTGTTACACAAATTTTTGAAAGACATAGTTGAGTCAATGAAATTCAGCATATTTATTGACTGAAAGGCAGAAAACAATCACTTTCAGTACATGCAGAAAAAGTATGTGACAAAATTCAACACCATTTATGATAAATACTCTTAGCAATCTAGAAATAGTAGGAAATCCATTTATGCTGACAAGCAATATCTCCAAAAAAACAGCTAACCTTCTACTTAATATTGGGGCTAGCCCTATCTGATATCTACTTCCTATAATGCTATGGCAATCAAAATAACTTGATATATAATATGCATATAATCCAGGATGTCCAACTATTTTAAAATCCACCTATTAGCAATCTTAATTCCCTCTGCAATCTTTGGTCATCTTTGTCATGTAACTTAATTGATTTATAGGATCTAAGGAATTAGGATGTTGGCATTATATGGCTATTCTGGGAAATCCTTGGTCAAGTTCCTCTTTCAGGGCCGAAAAAGATCTTATAATATATATTCACATAAGTATAGCCTTTTTTTTTTTCCAATTTACTGGGGGGGAATGGTATTAACCATGAGTATCATTTGTTACTAAAATGAGCCACAGTAAGATCAATGTGCAGCTTTCACACAAGATAACTGTAAAATGTTTAATGAATTGATAGCTTAATGCATGTTTAATCTCTAATATCAACATTAAAAAATCAGATAGGGTTCTGCCCATTAAATTAAGAAGTCAGATGGGGTCATTCTTCAAATAAAGTAATGGTGTTTGGAATGTATATCTCATTATAGAAAATAAATTCTAAGCCACAGAAGGTAATAGGAATAAACACACCTCTTCTCACATCTCTTTAAAAATGCTGTTACATGGTAGAAATGTGGCCACCTTTCCCAAATTACACTCACACCGATTCCAGACCTCTGTGCTCAGACCTTGAAAAAAATAGCACAGAGGTCTAGAATTAGTGTGAGTGTAATCTGAATGATGTTTCATATTGTTTCAAGAAGAGAATAAAAGGAAAATAGAAAATCTGTATGACCATTCTTTGCTTCTTTGTGTCCTGAAATATCCATCCTTACTGCTTATTTTTAAATGAGAAAAGTAAATCTGATCTAGAGGAGAAATTTGATTATTCTCGAGTTAATCAAAAACCAAAAACTGTGAACCCCAATTCTGTATCTAAGTCTCCTTCATTCTGTACTGTAAGCCTATGTATATCCATTAGATTTTTAAATGCATGAGATCCAGCATTTTGTCCATTTTTGTGCACTACTGTATGCATCCCAGAGCTTAGTAGAGTGCCTGGGGCACAGGGTAGATGGTTAATCAGTGCTGTTAATGAAAGAATGAATCTATCCAATTTGTTCTGCCCAGTGGGATATCATCTTATAGGCAACTTCAATTCCTCATTATTAGAACTGAGTTCACATTACCTGACCCATTATTCTGTTCCCAAAAATTTACCCTTAAAATATGCCTCCAACAATACAAAAATACATTTGCATAAAGTTATTCACTGAAGTACTATTTATAATTACAAAATGACTAAAAACTACCTAAATGTCAAACCACAGGTGATTGAATAAACCATGGTTATTATGCTATAGTCACTTTGGAGTAGTATGGAACTGTAAATTTATATATATATTACCCTATATAGAGTAATATGTAGCTCCAAATAGTATCATATATATATGGCATAGTATATGGCATGACTTATAGCTACATATTACTCTACAGTGAGTATAATTCACACACATATGGTATGACTTACAGAAAATATCAAATACAACAAAAAAGTATAATAGAGCATATATAGCATATTTCATCTTATGTAAGAAATGAGGGAAACATAAGAAATACATATTTCTGGCCGGGCGCGGTGGCTCAAGCCTGTAATCCCAGTACTTTGGGAGACCAAGGCGGGTGGATCACGAGGTCAAGAGATCGAGACCATCCTGGTCAACATGGTGAAATCCCGTCTCTACTAAAAATACAAAAAATTAGCTGGGCACGGTGGCGCATGCCTGTAATCCCAGCTACTCAGGAGGCTGAGGCAGGAGAATTGCCTGAACCCAGGAGGCGGAGGTTGCGGTGAGCCGAGATCGCGCCATTGCACTCCAGCCTGGGTAACAAGAGTGAAACTCCGTCTCAAAAAAAAAAAAAAAAAAAAAAGAAATATACATTTCTGTCAGTTTTTACCAAAATAATAATAATAATAAAAACTACAGGGAAGATAGAAAAGAAAATAATAAGTTGATGAAGTAGGATGAATGGAGTGGAGAGTGGAAGGTATACGAGAGACGGGAATTTTTTTGTGTCTCTGTGTATTTGTGTCTGTTTAAATTTTCTGTATAGTATTAACTTTTGGAAGCATGCTAGTGCTTTTCATATAAAAAAATAAAAATAGGAAAGGAATTGGAAACCTAAACCAGAAAGCAAACTACAATAAATTAAATTATATTTCAAATGACTACTATGAGCACACTGAAGAGGGGTGTGGGACATAACTAAGACCAATTATTTATGAACACAGTATCTGACTACATGCCCTCACTACTGGACATGATGGAACTGTGAGGAGAAAACTGCAAACTTTCATAAATGTTTTTAAAGTTTTTTTCTAAGCAAAGCAATTCTTTAATAAGCAAAGAAACTCACAAACTAATTCAGTTTTATTATAAGACTAAACGAATTTGTAAAAGTATTGAAGCCAGATATCTCATGACAGTAGACAAACACAATTATGGAAAGGAAGAAGGCAAACAAGAACCCGGTAGAGATAAACTGGGATGGGAGGTATTAAGTAATAGTATCTAAAGTATGCACATATGTATGTATATGAAAGCAGATGGACACAGGTATATTTATGTATATACATACATTTAATGGAACTGTGTGCTGAAAGGCCCAGAAACAAAGTCAACCCAGTTCCAAAGACTTTACCTAGTGTCCATTCAAAGAAACCAGGGCTCTATGGAGAAATGCCTCATTTCAAGGCTCAGTCCAAAAGTGCCTAGATTATCTTGTGAGGCTGGAAAGTAAGGTACTTAAAAAAAAAAATGGGACTGAGTTACAAGGACAGAAACCATTTTGAAGAAGCTTCCATTGGCCACATCTGGAACCATATGTGCACTAAATTAAGTACAGCAATAAATTATGAACAACTGACAGAGAGAAAATCATCATTACATTTTGATGACAAACAAGGAAGAAGGGAAGGTTTTTGCTTATAGGAGAATGTCAATGCTGATTGGTAAACAGAAAAGAAATAATTAAGTTTGAATTAATTATGTTCTAAGTTTCATAATGAAGATTAGATTAGGCAAGAATTGTGATGAATAGATGTTAAACATAGGGAGAAATTTAGATGAGAAATAGGATATTTCCATGATTGTAAAATGTTTCCTTATTAGATATGGAGGGGAAAAATCATCAACAGAGTGGAGAAATTGGACAAAGCTTAAACAGATGAAGTAGAAATGGACATCCGTGTTTCCAGATATGATACCTTTAAGAGACAGCATGAACTAAGAAGTATTTCAACTAAGAATGAGGAACCTGAATCTAATTATGAGGAAACATCAGAACATCAGATAAACACAAAAGGAGAGGTATGAATTCTTCTGTATATATATTATGACAGAAGAAAGACCACTTAAGAGAATAGGATAAAATGCTAAGAACTAATAAATCTGAAAAACAAGCATATAATATTTTGTACTGTTTTTATTCTTGTAAACTTTCTGTAAGTTTAAAATTATTTCTAGACAAAAGATTTTTTTTTAAAAGTAATGCATAAATATATGTTCTTTGAAAAAAAACATCAGATAGGTATAGAAGAAAAACTAAAGATGAAAAATGAATTGTTAACCTCTCTAACTCATCTTTTCACAAACAAACTTCACAAAGTGAGAATTTTTTTTTGTTTGGTTTTGTTCTGCTCTCGAATGTATCTCAAATACCTAGACCAGTGCTTGGCAAATAAATAACTGCTACATCATTCATTTGTTGGATAAATGAATGAAAAGGTAAATAGAAATACACTGTTCCTGTCAGTTTATTTAGATATATATTAAAGTTTTTTCTTATTAAGTAAATTGGGTCAGATTATTAAAAAACTCAAGATGATTTTATTCTTATCCCTGAAACATGCTTTACGATTATTATAACCAATTCTCATTCTTTCACTCTCAAACAGGACACCTATATCTTGGTTAAGATGGTAATTAAGGAAGGTAATTTAATACCTTCCAAAACCGCTTAAATAATTGATTCCGCTCTGCCTTTCCTGCTGTTACTGTAATGCAAGTCATCTTATGCATCCGTACCATCTAACTACTTTTATTCCTTGTCACCTTACTCTTTATCTTGGTCTCCTTCAACCCATGCAAGTCAGAGTAATCTTCAAAACACAACTTTGTAATCAAAGTTTCCCTTGTGTTACAATTTTCAAAATGACTTTTTGTAATCTATAGAATTGGTGATTAGCGTAGATTACAACTGTTTCATGAGCTTTTTATTTTTCCATCTTTACTGAGGTACAATTGTCAAATAAAAATTGGGTATGCTTAAAGTGTTTACCTTGATTTTATGATATACATATACTGTATGAAAGAATTACTGCAATCACACTAATCAATATATCCATTACCTCATGTGATTACCATATTTTTGTGTGTAGCAAGAACACTTAACACCTACTTTGCTAGAAAACTTAAAAATATACAATAGCGTAATGTATTGTAAACTATATATATTCACATTGTTGTCCATTAAGAAGTTATTCATCTTGCATAACTTACTCATCTCACATAAATGAATTTACTCATTTTGCATGACTAAAACTTTGGACCCCCCTGACTTACCATCTTCATATTTTCCCTTCTCTGTAGCCCCTAGCAACCCCTATTTCTATTCGTTACTATAAGCTTGACTATTTAGATACCACATATAAATGAGATAATGCAATATCTGTCTTTCTATGTATGGATTGTTTCACAAAGCATTAATTCCTCCAGGTTCATCCATGTTGTTGCAAATGTCCAGATTTTCTTTTCTTTTTTTTTTTTTGCTGAATAATATTCAATAGTGTATTATACATATAATTATATATATTATACATACATATACATCTCATACTTTTCAAATTTATTTATTTGTGATATGGTTTGGCTGTGTCCCCCTCTAAATCTCATCTTGAATTGTAGCTCCCATAATCCTCAAGTATCATGGGAAGAACCTGGTGGGAGGTAACTAAAACATGGGGGCGAGTTTTTCCCATGCTGTTCTTACAATGTTGAATAAGTCTCATGAGATCTGTTTCATAAAGGGCAGTTCCCCTGCACATGCTGTCTTGTCTGCTGTCATGTAAGACATGCCTTTGCTCCTTCTTTGCCTCCGCCATGATTGTGAGGCCTCCCCAGCCATGCAGAACTGTGAGTCCATTAAACCTCTTTTTCTTTATAAATTCTTCATTCTTGAATATTTCTTCAAAGCAGTATGAAAATGGACAAATACATCTGTCAATGCACATTTAGGTTATTTCCACAACTTGGTTAATGTGAATAATGCTGCAGTGAACATGGGTGTGCAGATCTCTCTATGCAATACTGATTTCCTTTGGATAGATATCTAGCAGTAAAACTGCTAAATAATAATTTATTGAGGAATTTCTATACTGTTTTCCCTAATAGCTGTGCCAACTTACATTCCCAAAAAGAGGTCATGTGCCCATTTTAAAATCAGATTATTTGAGATTTTTGGCTACTAAGTTAAATGCATTTCTTATAAATTTTAGATGTTAACTCATACACACACACACACACACACACACACACACACACATATACATGCAATCCCTTATAAATGTTAGATATTAACAAATGCATATATACACATATATATTTATAATAATATAAATATTTTGTCCCACTTTTTAAGTTTCTTTTCACTCTGATGATCATCTCCTTGGCTGTGCCAAAGCTTTTTAGTTTGATGTAACCCCATTTGTCTCTGTGGGTAGCACTGTCAAATGCTTTTTCTGTGTCTACTGATAAGATCTTGTAGTTTCTTCTTTCAACCTATTACTGTGTTCTATCTCATTTATTTGCATGTGTTGAAAGATCTTTGCATTCCAGGGACAAATCCCACTTAGTCATGGTGTATCATAATTTTAATATACTGCTGAAGTTAGGTAACTAGCATTTACTGAGGATTTTTGTATCTCTGCTCATCAGAAATATTGGCCTGCAGTTTGCTTGCCTTATGACATCTTTGTCTGGCTTAGGGAAATACTAGCCTCATAAAATGACTTTTAAAGTGTTTCTTCTTCTATTTTTCAGAATAATTTGAGAAGGACTGGTATTAATTCTTCTATAAATGTTTGGTATAATTTACCCATGAAGTCATATGGTCCTGAAAATTTCTTTGTTGGAATGTTTTTGACTAATGACTCAATGTCCTTATTTGTTACTGGTGTGTTTGAACTTTGAATTTCTTCTTGACTCAGGTTTCATAGATTGTACGTTTCTAGGAATTTATCCATTTTTCTAGGTTCTCAAATTTGTTGGCATATAATTGTTCATAATAGTCTCATGCCATTTTTTTTTTAATTTCTGAGAAATCCATTGTAATTTCTTCTCTTTTATTTCTGATTTTATTTATTTGAGCCTTTTCTTTTTTTCTTAGTTCTAGCTAAAGGTTTATTGATTTTATTTATCTTTTCTAAAAACAAAATCTTAATTTCACTTATTTTTCTCATTGGTTTTCTCAACTCCATTTAATGTATTTCTACTATAATCTTAATTGTTTTCCTTGTTTTAGGGTAATTTTTCTTTTGCCACGTTCTTAAAGGGCAAACATTTATCTGAAGTCTTTCTTCTTTCATAACAAAGGCATTTACTGCTATAAACTTCTTTCCTAGCACTGCATTTGCTGCATCCTGTAAGTTTTGTTATGCCACATATTTCTGGTTTCCAAATAGCTTTTAAAATTCCCTTTGATTTCCTATTTGACCGAATGATTGCTCAAGAGTGTGTTGTTCAGTGTATTAGTCCATTCTTTCATTGCTGTAAAGACATAGCTGAGACTGGGCAATTTATAACAAAAAGAGGTTTAATCGGCTCATGGTTCTGCAGACTGTAAAAGCATGGCGCTGACATCTGTTTGGCTTCTGAGGAGGTACCATGGAGCTTTTACTCATGGTACAAGATGAAATGGTATCAGGTACTTCAAAGGGCAAAAACAGGAGCAAGGAGGAGCAGTTACTACACACTTAAAATAACCAGATTTCATGAGAACTCACTATCATGAGGACAGCACCAAGCCATGAGTGATCAGTCTCCATGACCCAAGCATCTCACCAGGCTTCACTTCCAGCATGGAGGGTTACAAGTGACGTGAGATTTGGCCTGGAGTTATATTCAAACTATATTTTTTAGTTTCTACATATTTATACATTTTCCTGTTTTCCTGATGTTATTGATTTCTATTTCTATTCTATGGAGGTTGAAAAAGATACCTGGAATAATTTCAATCATCTTAAAGTTGCTAAGACTTTTTTGTGACCCAGCATGATTTATCCTAGAGTGCATGCCATGAGCATTTGAGAAGAATGTGAATTCTTCCACTGTTGGGTGCAAAGTTGTAAACGTGTCTGTCAGGTCAATTTAGTCTATAGTGTTGTTTAAGTCAGTGGTTTCTTTATTGATTTTCTGTCTAGATATTCTATTCATTATTGTAAGTGGAATATGAAAGTCCCCTAAATTATTTTATGGCTGTCAATTTCTTGCTTCAGATCTGTCAATATCTGCTTTATAATTTAGGTGCTCTGATATAGTCATACTAATTGTCGTATCCTGTTGAATTGACTCTTTTATTATGTAATGATCTTTTTTTGTCTCAAGAGATAGTTTTTGACTTAAAATCTATTTTGTTTGATATAAATTTAGCAACCTCTGCTTTGCTTTGGTTACCATTTGCATGGAATATCCTTTTCTGTCCTTTTTCTTTCATCTTACATGTGTCTTTAAATTGAAAATGAGTTCTTAATGAACAGATACAATTGTTTTATTCATGTTTGCCTATCCAGACAGTAATACTATTAAAATGTATAACTGATGAACATATTTTTATTAAATGAATAAATGACCAGCATTACTAAAAGTTCCTTTGTGTGTGTGTGTGTGTGTGTGTGTGTGTATAAACAGCTTAGCTATATAGATAGACAGATGTAGATATAGATATACAGGATTTAAGAGTCCAATTTTTGTTGAGTCATCATCCTTTCTGTATTCCCAAGATTTCTGTTTTCTCTGCATTTGTACCTGACTCTGGACTCTAATTCTCCTTCACCCAAGTAATCCCTCTGTATTCCAATATGTCTTTCCTTATTAGGCTGAATCTTTGTTGCCCTTTTTTCCCCATTCTATTTGCATTGGGATTTATTTTATATTCATGTCATTTTATTTATCCAAACCTCTTAGGAAAGTTCTTAACATCTAGCGAGAATAGATCTCAGTATAGATATTATAGCTATATGATCAGACCATAAACATTTAGCCCCCCCAATTCTGCAAGGCAGCACTATTTACACAACACTGGAACCCAAACTAAAAACAAAGTATCTTCAGAATACAAAAAGGAAACTAAATTTACTAAGTATCACACACACAGACACACACACACACAGACACACACACACAAATTAATACAAAATGCAAGAATGACGAAGTTAATGGGTCCTAGGGTTAATACCTGGGTGGTGAAATAATCTGTATGACAAAACCCCATGACAGAACTTTACCTATGTAACAACCCTGCACTTGTACCCCTGAACTTAAAAGTTAAAAAAAAGGAAAATAAACTTTTAAGAATTATTTTGAGATGGTATCTATTTCAGCAAAACAATGTGAATGTGAGCTATGGGGTAGACAGGAAAGATAACTTCATTAAACAGAACTGAAGAAAATCTGTGTTGGAATATAAACTGTTAAATGAAAGTCTGCTTTACTTCTTCAGTTTACTTCACAAGTCTTGCTTCCAGATTCATGGAATTAAACTACTGGAATACTTACCTTCGAGGATGATTGGCATCAAACAATGTGTTATCATCATCCTCATCATCTTGTTCTAAAGGAGTCAATTCCATGTTTTCTATGTTAGTGTCCAAAACTCCGTATCTCCTAGTCTTTCGGTTTCTTCTTCTCATCCTATTAAATGTAACAAATTAATAAAAATTATTTAATATGGTGTAGAGGATCCTTAGTTTATATTTATTTGTAAATTAAAATAAATTTTCATTCTGTTTCTGACATAGAAAGCACTCAATATCAGAATGGTTACATTTCATATATGCAACAAATTTACCATCTGGGATTAAATTTCATGAAACAAAACCTACTCCTACATGTTTATGTGCCATCACCTGTTTCTTCTGTTTGACATACTCTCTTCTCCCTGTGTCAACCAATGGTGTTGACAAATAACTTTTAAGCCTTAGTTCAAGTACCATACTTGAAGCCTCAATTTTTAAAGGCTTAGGTCAGGTACTCCTTTATTGAAACATCCTGTTCCAGCCTTTTCCCCATGTCCTCCATGCTTTCCTACCCCTGTGAAGATGCCCCTCTAAGAAACTGTATGCATATCCATGTTCACAGACTAGACTGATAGCTCACAACTCTAGCCATACACCAGAATTACCTGGGGGTATTTTTTGGAGCCCCATGTTTAGGCTATAACTGAATCAAAAAGCACAGCAAAAAGAATTACATATCAATATTTTGTTGAGATTCTAAATGTGATTCCAATGTGATATAAAACCACTATCTGAGATCAGTGGTCCTTGCAGTGTGTTTCTCTGGATCAGCAGAATAACAGTCACCTAGGAACTTATAAGAAATGCAAATCTTCATGGCTAGCCCAGACTTAGTTAACAACAAACTTTGAAGATGTGGCCCAGAAACCTGTGTTTTAACAAACATTTCTTATGCTTTTGATGCATACTCAAGTTTGAGAACCACTGCCTTAGAGAAACTGAAAAGATTCAAGGGTGCTTAACATTCATTATTATTAGCTGTGTTTATGAAATCTCATGATTTAGAGCCCTACTTCCAGTTGGTGTCTCAAATAACTTATTCTTTTCCTTAATTTTCATTCCTATGTGCCGATGTATATATCTATGTGGTGTTTATTCACCTGTGTCTCCCACTAAGTGCTATATGAGCAGCAACGAAAACTGCTTTATTCACCACTGTATAACCACTTTCTAGTACAGTGATATATCAATTAAGATATTCCTCAATTAATTATTGAAGGTCTGAGTGACTTCTACCATGGCAATCCAAAACCATGACCCTGAAAGGAATGCCTAAATCATCTCCAACGCAATAACTTCAACTCCACACATAGGAAAATGTGTTTCACAAGAGTGTCCATTGGAATTTAAAAATAAAATAGAAAATATTTCAGCAAGTTATCACAAATAAAATTAGTTTGCATAAATCCTGATTTGATCTGCATAACATAGTAAGTGGAATAAGAAATACTTAAGCTATAATATCAACTGTAAAGAGCAACGTGAGCCTGTTCAAACATGACAGTGAAGCCCCTGGGGGGAAAAAGACCTTGAACAAATACTTGAGTCTTCCTAAGCATCAGGTATGGTAGTAGCTTCTGGATATAAACTGCCTGGTCTCAGTGTTAAAATTTATAAAATGTTACTAAAGTGTGAACGAACAGAAACCAAGAAAATTTCTATCAATCATTACCTATAGAGCTATATATATATATACACATACAAAGTGATGGAACAGGAAACAAAGTTAAGCATAGTATTTAAAGTTACAAATGTACCCAATAAAAGAGTCAATAAATATTAGTACTAGCAAAAATGAAGCAGTATGAAGTAAAAAGAACTTGTTCTTTCATGGTGAGAAATTAATGTTTAGGTTGTTACATTAAGTATATGTGTGTGTATGTGTGCACACACACACACCATGTAGACCAGAGGTCTAAACTTCCTCTGTAAAAAAATTAGATAGTATTTGACGATCTGTAGGACACATTCTGCTATGTATTCATTTAAATTTTCATTTTGTTTCCCACCCTTAAAAATCTATAGATAGATGATAGATAGATAGATTGACAGATAGCTAGATAGATAGCTAGACATTCTTAGTTCTTAGGCCTTACAAAAACATCAGCAGAAGGAATTTGGCCTGTGGGCTATACTTTGACAGCCTCTGATTTAGACTCATAAAAATAATTAGCAAACAAACAAAGAAAAAAAAATAAAATTATTGTCTATGGAAAGTAGAACTAGAAAAATAGGCTGGGTATGGTGGCTCATGCCTGTAATCCCAGTACTTTGGAAGGCTGAGGTGGGCAGACCACCTGAGGTCAAGAGTTCGTGACCAGCCTGGCCAACATGGTGAAAACCTGTGTCTGGCAAAAATACAAAAATTAGCCAGGTGTGGTGGTATGTGCCTGCAATCCCAGCTACTTGGAAGGCTGATGTAAGAGAATCGCTTGACCTCGGGAGGCACAGGCTGCAGTAAGTTGAGATGGGGCCATTGCACTCCAGCCTGGAAGACAGAGTGAAGACTCTGCCTCAAAAAAAAAAAAAAAAAAAATAGAAAAATATAGGGAAGTAAGTTCACTATTGTGCTTTTGAACCATATGATTTAATGATACCTGCATGCAATCATTTGATTTTAAAAATGATTACATAAGAGTGAAACTAGTTGGCAACATAAGTTAAGGATATTGAGAATTATAATTTCTCTTTCCTTTTGTCAGCCTTTTGCTCAGTCTTCAAAGCCATATGGGTTCCAAACATTCTGACAATTTTAGTCAATAAAAAAGAAGTTAATGCCATGTGAAATTGTTTTTGGAAATAAACTCGATTCTTCCAGGTCATACATATCAAACAGTCAATATGTTAACCTGTCATTGTTAGTCACAGGACATGTTGGCAAGTCTTAAAAAAAAATGATGAACATAGAGTTTAAAGACTTCAACATTTAGCTCATCTGATGTTCTTCTCTACATCCAAAGTTTTTACCATACCTTCAATGATTTCCAATCTTTCAATGAGTGGTCAAACTAGTTTGCCTAATAATACTATTTTCCCTATCCATGTACAGCCTAAACATTTGACTGTAGTGGTTTGGACCTTTTATTTTATTCTAGCTTATACTGTTCTTTAATTTAATTGTATATGTAAATACTATCTTCTAAAAATGAATCCAAACTATTTAGAAACAAGTTTGGATTGTTGTTTAGAATCTATTCCATATATAAAAATAGAATATTGTTAGGCATCAAGTCAATGGGTGATGCAGTTCAAATTTAAACGAATTTACTGTTTTATTATATGTACTGACTCATCTAAAAATGAGTCAAGAATACTGCATATTATTAAATAAAATTTAAACTTGAAATGTAATTTCTCTTAAAATGTCTTTCCTCAGTCCAAAGATATATGCAGTCATAACTATGTGGTCATATAGCTACATGGCCATATAAAAATATTAAATATAATATAACACACACACCACATTATTATATGGTGTGATTTATCTCAAGGTAGGAAAAAACAATTATAAATCTTTAAAATAATTTGGGTGATTCAACAAACAGTACTGAAAATACTAACAAACACTAAATGTAAAATAAAACATACATTAAAATACGCCAACATTTTAAGTAAAAAGGCGACTTTGTTGGGAGGGATAGCATGGGGAAAAATGCCAGATGTGGGTGAAGGGGAGGAAGGCAGCAAATCACACTGCCATGTGTGTACCTATGCAACTATCTTGCATGTTCTGCACATGTACCCCAAAACCTAAAATGCAATAAAAAAGGGGACTTTGTCTTTTAATATGCATTGTACATTATTTTTTAACAAAAGAAAAAGAGCTTTAATATCTATGCAATTTTAATAGCCACAGTTCTTTTCCTACAAATGAATGTCTTCATTAAGCTTGTGATACCCAAACTTGTCTATATGCGTGCTGACAATTACAAATATATACACACACATGTAGATACAGACATAGATATGCACACTTTTCTACTAGACATAGTAAATGCATTTGGAAATACAAAAACAAATTATGCCAGCTTCTAATGAAAATAAAAATAGGGACTTTATCTACAAGTGTTTACAGAGGAAAGTACAAAAGCCTGAGCAGGCAAAAGAAAATATCTATATGATTACTCATATAAAATTACATTCACTCATCACATGGTATGCTCAGACAAATTATCCCGGTCAGACACTTTCTAGGTATTCAAGTTAATATTCAAATAGCTGCCTTCATATAGATGCAGATTCCTTAATATTCCAATATATTCAGGTTGGTAAAAACGACTTCCCTTCTAATAACATATATATAAGTTAGAGTATCAAAATAAAGCCAAACCACAAAAGTAAGCTTGATAAAATTTTATGTAAAAATACGTGATGACATATAAACAAAACAGAATAAAATTCCATTTCATTTCACCGCTCTATGAAAGGGAGAACACCAATCAATATAAGTTGCTGTAACTTGATATATCTATCTAGTTTGATTTAAATTTGTTGTAACTTGCTATATCTACTTAATTTTATTTTTTCCCTTCTGTTTTTTTTTAACTGAGCATCTGTAGGGTAATATAATTCTTAATTTCTTTTTTAGCACATTTAAAACTAGACTGAGGAATATATTATTTACTATACAGACACATACACTACCCTGTGTGGTTAGACATAACAATGAAACAGAGTAAATAACAATCTATAACTAAAACAAAATTTTTGTTTTAACTAGTTTTAGAAAAAAGTGAACTAGTGACCAAAAATAAATGTGAAATTTCTTTTTTTAACCATTGAAATATAAATGAATAAATATTAGTGAATCACAATTGTAGTTGTCTATACTATTCATCAGGAAATTCAACCCAATTGAATATATGACACATAGTAAAAATTCTTTTGATGAAATTGACATCATTCTCATCTTTATTCCCCATTTCCACCACCCAATCCATCAGTTGTCAGTCCGACTTCTTCAAGAATCAGACACTAATAAGGAATGTGTTTGCGTGTTACAGCTTGAATTATGTCCTCCAAAAATTCATATGTTGAAGTCCTGACCTTATTTAGAAATAGGATGTACTTTGAGGCAATAGACTTTATAGAGGTAATCGAGTTAAAGTGAGATCA